AATAATAATAATATTTACATTGCAAGGCATTTCTTTAGAAATTGGCAGTGAATTAAAAAAACAGAGGACGAAGTTGGTCTGTAAAACAGGTACTGCAGAACAGCATATTGCAAGCACATTTGACAAGAGGATTATCTGATGTAATTTTAATGAAATCTCAAACTATCAGTTTAAGCTAATGCATTTTTAAGAAGTTTTACACATCACTTTTTGCCATATAGTACCTGCATTTCCATTGACCATGAAATTCAACAAATTGGAATCCTGAAAACAAACTTGCATAATGGAAACGATCAATAGAAAGCTTTCTTGCCTGGATGAGGTGAAATATGAATATGCTTTTCAATGACTTGTCACACAAGCAAACTCATACATTGTGTGATTTTAATTGCATTTCTTAGTTAATGGAAACACCACAAAAGCGAAATTATGTTTTTTGTGAATATTACACAGCAAATCCAGCAGGCCCAGATGAACTCTGTCAGATTTGATTTCAACACTTTAAAAGTGTCTATATGGGTCCACACCAGAAAGTGTTAATTTAACTCTTTTTGGAGAGTTGGTACCTTAACTCTAATAAAGTGTCAAATATCAAATCTGCTGGAGTTAATAATTTAACACTTACTAACACTAATTCAGTGTTAGATCTTAATATTAACTCTCAGAGTACTTCTTTAACTTCTTAAGAGTTATTTGTAATTAATATTAAATAGGTACTTTATTGTGTTGAACTTTTAAAAATTCTTTGGAAAATAAACATTTAATAATAAAGAGGCAATGATTTTCTCAAATGCATTTATTTCAAAACGTGCACCATAATTACAAAACATATTACGTGGAATAATGTGCATGTTTCACATGTTGCTTTCATTCACATATCGCTTATTAAAAGGTCTAACATATCAGCTGTGCAATACAAAATGCAGTATGCTTCATAAATTTTTCTTCAATACAATATGCATGAAATTGTTCAAAGTACAAGGTGGAGAAAGTAAAGCAAGCAGTTCAAGTAATATGATAGAGTACATTTTCTTTTAACAGGGAGATTACTGGATATTTCAGTACATAACAGAACAACCTTTCTTTTAACATTTTCTTTTAACAGGAAGATTATTGGATATTTCAGTACATAACAGAACAACCTGATAATCAGATCCATCATTTTTTACCCGGTTTATGTTTCTGTTGGTAAGAGACAGTTCCTCTCTGCACTCCCCCACACATGTCCACTCACTAACAGATTGTCTTCAGGTTGTTGGGCTGTTCGTGACGTTTGGCCGGAGACACCAACATGCTCCTCTACTGCATTAGACAGTCTTCAGTCTGAGTGGGACAGCCAGTGTCGGACTCTGGATCATAACAAACAAAAAACATAACAATGAGGATTGGAACGAATGAATACATTTTTACTACAACTCTTAACAACAAGCCTCAATTATGGAAATGTAGGGTTTCAAAGATATTAACACTTCCATAATCATTTTTGGAACTTGAATCTTCGAAGAATCCTTGGAGGGATCAGGAGAGGGAGGTTAGGCTGAGACTGGAGATTCATCCTCAACCAGACTGGTTCTAATATATATATAAAGGCAATAAAAGGATTAAAACATGCTGTAAAACGTATATAAGACACAAGGGCGGGGATAATGCTTTCAACAGTTTTTCAAAGGAAAAAAGAAATTGATCAGAAAGGTTGATAAATCTGACCAATATTCATGTAAACGTTCAACATCATGAAAAAACATACTCCAGATTATTACTTATATGTTCAATTTAGCCAAGAATTTGATTGAATCTTCACCGGCTCGATCTTTTTCAACACTTATACTCTGCTAACATTCAGCATGCTAAGCTAAATATGCTAACTAACACCGAGCCGTGTGGCGAACATGACATCTATCATACAGGTTGAGCTCAACTCAAAATAATAGTTATAAGCCATCTCATAAAAAAATAACTTACCAAGCGCAGTAAAAAACTCAGACAGGTGGAAAGTAAATAGTCCTGAAATGATTTGGCTTCTGTCGCTTCGCTTTGGTGGGAATCTGATTCTGAGGCGGAGGCAGTGAATTAACTCCTTCAGTGTTAGAGCCGCTGTAGGAGTTCAGAGTTCAGAAGTCAAGAGTTATTGGTTCTATTTTAACACCTCTAAATTTGATACGAAACAGTTTGTTTTAACACTGGATTTTAACTACTAATAATTTACACCCCAGAGTTACAGAAACAGAATGTGACTCTATTAGAGTAAAATTAACTCTGCTTTTGCACAAAGTCTACTAACACCAAAACATTTAACACTTTTGAATTTGCTGTGTAGAATTATGGGAAAAGTTTTGCACACATTTGTCATTTGTCATGGAAACACAGCTAGCATCTCTTGTCAAATGCACCTGATATGTTTCCTGTTGGAGGGACACCGCAGTGGCCCATTCATAACTACAGTCTTTGTTTAAATGACCAAGGCGTAAAGGTACATTACTGGCTAATATGATAGGATATTGGCGGTTTATAAGGAGTGTTTACATGAAACGCAGCCACTTGCTTTGGTCTTGGCATGTCATTATTTTATTTGTTTTAATCCTCAGAAAAACAGTCCATTTCTAAAACAGGAAGTTAAGAAAATATTCTTTACCATATGAACTGCTCACATCCTCAGTTAAAAAGAAAACATAATCCATTTAAACAATTGGTTTTAGTCAACAAGGCAATCTAACCATCTCAGTTTTGCATTGAGATGTCTTAACATAGGTTCCAACAAATTCTTGAGTTTTTCCACAGATTACTAAATGTTGGGACCTGGATTGGATTCATGTTTTCAGCTTTTTTTTCCCACCAAATATCTCCCAATTGCCATCTGTAGACGATCTGCCTCCAACTGAGCCGGTCAAATGCCGCTCTGCCATTATGGAACCCCAAACAGTCCATCATTGTGCCCCGCTTCCAAGCCATTTCCAATGTAGTGGACAACTAGAGTTTTTCTTTTGCTGTACTGGTTCTATTTACATAATAAACTTTGATGACACATTGTGTCTGCTCCGCATAGATGGAATTTTGTTTTTGTTTTTTAACTTGGTGGGTTTTTTGTACTTTTTCCAGGACCTCAGATGCAGTTCTAGAGTAAGTTTTGCCTCCTTGGATCATGTGAATAATGCAACAAGAGGGCCTTGAACAGGAGGCCATAAATTAAATGGTGTGATCCAAGCAAGGTGCACCTTACAACACACTAACCTTTCTATCCTCCTTGTCTAACCTGGTACTAGTCCTTGTATCTTTTTATTGCTGTTCTTTCAAATGTTTTGCAATGCCTTCCCCGTCTATTCCGTGTGACTCGCTTGGCGTCCCAGCCCTCCGCCGCTGACTGTGCAGGTGTGTGCAGGAGAAAGGCGAGGTGTTAAAAGAGGAGAGGAGCACAGAGCGGCGGGTGATGAATCTCCCAGCCGTCTGGAACGCTCTCCGCTTCGCCAGCTTTTCCCTCGCCTCTGACCCAAATCTAATGCGACAGGACCTGTTTTCGCGGTCCCCCTTCCCCCATCACTCCGGTTACTCACCTCCTCCCTTCAACGCTACCACAGGAGTCGTGCACCACCCTTCTATTTTTAGCTGTTTGTCCTTGAGTTACAATCCCTGAAAATTGTCATGATCCATAGCAGGAGGCTGGGGCAACGAGAGCGCCTTGCCTCAGCCCCGTCTCGGAGCGCGGCGTACCTCAGCAATAAATTGCCGTCAACTCAGAGTTCTTTGTCAGTATCGCGGTGAATATTCCTCTCATTAAAAGAGGTGAAATGGAGGGAGCGTTAAATGAGAGCATTTAACGCTCTGACAGATAAGGCCGTTCTTTTAACCACACACCTTCATTTTCGCTGAAGAAAGTTATCCACTGTAGCCAATTAGCATGACTGCTCTGTCTAGCGTTAGCCCCCTCCCTCCTCTATCCAACTCGCTTTCATTACTGTCTCTTCCTCTCCTCCTTCTGCTCCTCCTCTCGTTTTCTCTCTTTCTCATTAGGGCCGCGCCGTAACACACTGAATCATAATAGGTGCTCTACACTGTGAAATGGCTTTCGCTTTGTTTCATTTCGCCGCTCGTAGTGGCGGGAGAACGAGTAAACAGTCGATTCAGCTCAGGCGCAAAGCCACACCAACAGGCGCAATCAGCTCCGTCCATTAATCTGTCGTAAAGCAGCGTCTTTCTTCACTTTCTTACCTGCCTGAAGAAATCCCTGATATGGGAAAGCAAGAGTGGGGGCTAATCTACGGGAGCTGCCATGCAGGGCCATGTACCATCCACTGATAATAAATGGATGAATTCGACCAAGGAGAACGTTTAAGGAGAGATGATGAAAAAGAGGAAGATACCAGGGATGAGACTACTAGGGGGGCGGTTGAGGTGAAAAGAACAGAAAAGGTGTGACTTGGGTTGGTGGGTGCCAACTGAGGAAAGAGGTGAAGGGGGTAGGAGGGTGGAGGCGGTGTCACCGAGGCGTATTCTAAGCCATGAATGTAAATATGCGTGAGGGGATTATCAGAAAGTGCCAGGCGGCGCATTCGGGGCTTTGTTTCCGTGACACCGTGACGTCGGCTTTGTTTCCCTGACAGCAGATGTGTGTGTATGCGTGTGTTTATGTGTGTGTTTGTGTGTGTGTGTGACATCCAGGCATCTGTTTCCTGCTGGAAAAGGTTAATTACATCTCCACCGCCTGACTGGACGTGCAATGCATAATCACGCATGCTAATGAGACCAGTGCGCTGGCCTTTTGTCTTTGGGCGTCCGGATGCGCCCGGGAAAGCCTGCGGCATGGCGGCAGAAGATATGTCAACCACTTGTTTCTACTTTGAAAGCACCATTCTGGCAGCCAAGAAGAAACATGAGCACCCTAGCATGCTTGCGTTGCTGTGCCCTCTAACAGGTGACAGCTGGAAGTGCATTGTGGTGGCATTTACGGGGAGAGACTCGACTCCCACAAGGACAGACATTAATTGAAGCATCTGCATTTGTGGGTGTTCCTCTCGGTAATTACTCATCCGGATATTAGAGAAGCCGCAGCACCAGGGGAGTGATGTTCCCTAAACCCCTGTTTCTCATTCTGACCCTTGACTCCCTTCTTCACACTCCAGCTAAGCCACTGATTGGACAGCTGCTTTGGCTTTAGATCGGGGTCAGCTCAGCATGAAAATCCGAGATGGGCTCGGGGCCCCTCAGCGGGCGACTCTGGAAATTGCTCTACACTTTCTTACTCGGCTGAAGTTTTCGCTAAGTCGATCTGACGTAAGTAAGCAGGTGAGTAGGTGCAGAACTCCACGGAGCTTCGGTTCCAATCCAGCCGCCGCAGAGGAGGCGCAATTAGGGTAGAGAAGAGAAAGCCGGGGCGTCGAGGAGAGGTGTGCCTGAACAGAATAATGGATTTTGAGAGACCTTAGTCTCTTCGCACTCTGGCAAGAAATGAATCAGACCTTTTTTTTTTCTTTTTTATCTTTTGAATATTATCAGCAAAAGCAAAGTTCTCAGTCAGCTGCCCAGGGAAAATTAGAGCATAGCAGGTTTGGGGAATGGAGGATGAGCAAAGAGTTCAGAGGCTTTCATTTTCATCATTCTTATCATGAGGACAAATTTGGATGGCCTTTTGGTTTGTGAGCGTAGAAAAAGAAGTAGAACATGAAATCTTTTCCATGAAACACCTGAATAAAAATATGTATTTGAAACCTGAAACCCCTTCACTTCCTTTATGGGAACATTCCCAGACACGTGATATGCAGACTTGTAACCTTGGTCTTATGTTACAGTGTTTTAAAGATGGAGAGAGTTCAGCCAACAGCGCTGCAGTCACACCACCGTTTCCTCATCCCGGTGATGCCCGTCCTCGTCAACCTCCTCTTCTGATGCTTGGTCCTGTTTTTTCTTCTTTCGTCTGCGGCAGAAGCCATTCAGACCACAGAAGCAGGCACAGGTGAAGGGCATGGTCTACCTGACGTGTCGCATCCACAAGGACCTGCACAGGAAAACAGGTGAGTTACGCATTTATCAGACCGTTCTTGGTTAACTGGATCTGACAAAAACTATGAAAGCTTTTCACCCAGATGTCTGTGACTATCTACGAAACAAACAAAAATGAACATTCAAAAACTTACAAAAACTAAAGTTAAGGAAGATTCAACATAATAACTATGAGAGCAACACAATAAAGCAGGCTGCTGTGAATAACAGGATGATCTGACAAAGGGCTAACAAAGCGAGAGATACTACAGCTGGGGAGTTGATTACTCCCTTGGTGCAATTGTGAGGGAAGGCAAGGAACTGAAGTTGAACTGAGAAAACTGGAGAAATGGCTGACAGAACACACACAGGGAGCAGAATATAAATATACAAAACCCCAAAATAAAGCTGAGCGCAACAAAACCAAAGTCAACAGAGAATAGTTTCAACAGTTAAATTGAAGAAACATTTAGTCTGTTTGTGAAAACACAAAGGGAGCACCTTCAATGTTCCTTTGACAGTAGATGAGCTCGTCTACTCGGAGTGGAATATTCTGATTACATGATAATTAAAAAAAAAAGAAACTGGTTCATGTCACTCTTAATTTTTCTAAGATATTGCTAAAATCTGACATCACCTCATGAACCTGACATGGACTCGTGTCGCTAATCAGGTAAAACAACGCAACACAATTTCAATATTGTTTTTTTTTTTTTTTTTTTTACATTAGTAGAATATCAAAAATGTTTTGTGCACATTTGTAATGAAAATACATAGGAGTGTACTTTTCATGGTAATGTGTGTGTCTTCAATGCATATGGACAGTCAGTGTCAGAAATTATGTAGGTAAACTTGTGTAGGTTCCATCAATAAGTGAGTCGGCACACACACACACGCACACACTCACACACACATGCATTCACTGCAGTAAAGTCTGGCAGTACATGGAGCCCTGGCACTCAGCAAGTAGAAAAAGTTTTTCTCCAATATGCTTCTTCGCACATTTTTCCCCTCCAACTTCCCACATCTGCAGCCAGAGAACTTTCTCCCACCGGTTCTCCATCCCGGGCATTCTCTTTTCCCCGTTCACCACCAAAGTAGTCTTAAGGCTCACTAAACTCCCAACGTTAACAGTTTTCGCCAGCGTGCTCGCAGCCAATCACAAATGAGCAGTGAGATTAGGAGAGGCGAGGTGAAACCGAGAGCTTCATTAAATACGAACCTGAGTCAGCAGCAGCGGCGGCGGCGGCAAGCCTCGCTAGCGAGCGCACAATGCGTGTGTTGCATGTGTGTATGTAGGTGGGATGCAAGTAGGAGCGAAGGAGGGGGGAGAGAGGGTGTGCGTGACACAGGCGCAGACTGAACATAAAATTTCTGCATTCAAGCCCGCGTGTTTATTTGTGTGTGACTTTAGGGATTGATGCCGTCTTTGGCTCGGCTCATGTGGGGGCAATTAGCTGAACCTCGCTCCAAGCTGCCTACAAGGAAAGGCAAAACCGCCCCCGGCTACACAGTACGTAGCTGTGTGTGTGTGTGTGTGTGTGTGTGTGTACCTACATACCACCGTCTCTCGGGGGGGGGGGGGGGGGGGGGGGTTTTTTTTTTTTCCCTTCTC